CACAGGGCAGAAGTCACAACCCAAGAAGTCATACGTCCTCGTATTCGATCCCGCCAGCCAGCAGGCCACGCTCGAGCCGCTGTCCAGCAGCTACACCTTCAACCTCGCGACCAAGAACGGCAAGGACGTCTCGTCACAACACGCCAAGATATATCCCAAGAAACTCAAGGGTGACGCAGAGAGCAAAGATGGCGAAGAGGATCTCTTCGGCGAGGCGGCGGCTGACGACGAGGGAGGGGACCCTGATGCAGACAACCCCTACGACTTCCGACACTTCTTGAGCAAGGAGAAGGAGAAACGGGGCGACGAGTCCGAATACAAATACGCGTCTTCGCCAGACTACCGCACAGGCACAGGCAGCGCCGTCAATACACCTCAGTTCGGGGCCCGCGCCTCTGCGACTGCTGCTCCAGCGCGGAAGGCTGCCGCTATACCAGCGCCCAAGAAGCGCAAGACAGCGGCCACGAACCCCATGGTAAAGCCCAAGAAGACGCAAGCCACACCAGCCGTCCGCCTCCAGCGCACCGCAACCGACACAACACCAAAGCCCAAAGCTAAGCCCGCAGCACCGCCAGCGTCGAGAATCAAATCCTCCGAGGTCATACACTCGTCTGACGAATCCGACGGCGAAGCAGCTTCCTCGCCAGCACATCCATCGCCTCCTCACCAACAACATCAGCAACACCACGAGTCCGACGACGACGACGACGACGCAGAGGGCGAGTCAGACGATGACGGTGGCCTCGAGATCGAAGTGCCCGACGCACGCCCACCACGACACAACAAGGGCGCAATGGCATCTCTCGGCTCAAATCTCAATGCAGGTTACCTCCGCTCCCCCTCCAACGGCCCGATATCCCTCGCCAGCGCCGCCAACAGCGATGGTGAAGGCTCGCCGAACCCCCGCCGCAATCGCAACGCTCAAGACGAGATCGACTTTGGTGATCTGGGCGGCGATGATGCAGAAGGTGAGGATGATGATGAGGACGATTACAACAGAGACATTGAACCTATGGACATTGGGCCGCCTGCGCGACAGGAGACGGGGAGCCATGATCGCAAGTCTAGCATGGCTGGTGAAGCGGCAGCAGCCGACGACGATGAGGATGATCTCGAAGAGCTTATGAGAAGAGGTTTGATGGGCGGGGACAGCAGTGAAGAGAGTGAGGAGGAGTGAACACGCCATTATGGTTCTGCCATCTATCTATTTGACGAGCCGCTTTCCTGTTCCGTCGCGCACATGAGCACGCCTGTATCTGCTTGGGACAACTAGTTCGTCCTAGATCACATCGCTTGCCCGACCGTCCCTGTTGGAGGCGTCACCGCCGCTTGTGCTTCCTGTGGGCGAAGTGAGGGAGAAGACGCGTCTCGCGCCATTTGTTGCTGCGACGGATAGGTCATCGGTTCAATGAGCTCCGGCTGCGATACTGTCTTCACCGGGTGTTGATGCTCGATCTCCCGGTCCTGCTGTACAAGATTGAAGGGAGCGCAGAAAGCACACCACAGGTCCTTCCCCCGATTGCCTTTTAATCCGTATCTCTGCCGAATGCGCCCTCGATTACGAAAAGGCAGCAAGATACATAAGAAGCACATAGACCCACAACATGACAGACAGCAACATCCCCAACACTATATGTCTCTGGTCAGCGTGTGCCCAACGCCGCGGAGGAGGGATGGCTTGCCTTTCTGTTGCAAGACGCCGTCCAACAATCATACCCTTCCATATCTCCCTCATGGATCTCTTGGTACCGAATCTTGCCGTACAGAACCCAAGGACAGCAGCATGCGAGCCAGCCTGTGCAAACACATCAGTCGGTGTTTATACTGGAAGACGAGAACTCGTACCTGTGCTAGCTGGATTACAGCAATCGCGCCCCCTCTGGTTCCACTCTGTCATGGTAGTTTCGTGCTTAGGCTATTGCGCTGGTGAGGATATCGAGAGGTTGATAGTAGAGTGATACATCTACACTGACGAAGAATATAAAGCTTCTATGACTCAGTCCTGTCCTTGCACCTCGTTGATGACTGGAATATTGTGCGACGTTGCTATGTTGGTACGCTTTGTCACAAAGTCTGAGCGCCGTATGTGCTCAAGCAGTGACAAAACCGATGAGGAAAAGAGTCCGGTTAACTCCAAAGTGCTATCCTCATGGATGTACGGAGGACAGTCAACTACAAGCGGTAGCGTTCTTGTCCAACGGGTCATTACTGCAGTTTACCATGGTAATCAGAGAATGGGTGGTGAACGGTCATGGATCTGTATCAGTGTAACATCGAGATAGCTTCTCTTAGTAATCTATTATCATAATCCTACATGCAAAGCTGGACCAATGATTTTTTCATCCAAATATATACTCGAATCATTAAACATGGTCTTCCGTAAAGTTTTCATCAAAGTCCCCCAAGGTTGTTGACGTGTGGCATAGTATCAACGTTCCGAAAATGTGACGCTTAACACAATCAAAGCCAAGCAAAGACGGCCATAACGCCCGCGAGCAGCGCACCCATTCCATTGAGCTCTTTGCCCAGGGCATCCGCCGCAGCACCAGTGGAAGGGGGCGCAGATGTCTCCGCACTGTCAGACCCAGTTCCCGAAGAGCCGGACTCCTCCGCGCCAGATCCTCCAGTCGCCGTTGCGCTGAAGCTGCCAGAAGTGGGCGTACCGTTGAAGTCGTGCTTCTGGCCCAGTGTGGGCAGGGGCGACGTGGGGTTGACTTCCCAGACCGAGGTAGTGAAGTCGGGGCAGACGACAGGCGAGTTGGTGGGGTTGTAGTCAGCCGCCTTTACACCGGTGGGGTTTAATGTAGCCCAGACAGCGGAGAGGTTGGGGAAATCGGGTTCTACTGGGGTAGGTTTTCCTGTGTGTTGTTAGTCAAGTTGTCTAAGAGAGAAGTAGCATGTACGACATACCTGAGCGAGGGAAACCATCCGGTGCCTGAGCAGGGTCAACCTTGGGACCATAGCTAATGAGACCGTAATCGTTCATCTCTTCGATCCATTCGTAGATAATGCTGCCAGACCAGACGTCGGCCATCTCTCCGAAAAGCGCCTCTTGGTCCTTGAAATCGCGTGGCCTTGCTGTGTTGCAACCAGTCTCCGACATGAAGATAGGGATGTGCAGATCCTCAGAGTTCTTCTCAAGCTGATCATAGCCAGACTGTTGGTAGGAGCTCTGTCCGCACCAAGAGTAGGCGTTGAGACTGAAGAAGTCGAGACGCTCAGACGCATTGTCGCCGCAAGCGAGGTAGTTCTGCAGCATAGGGCGGAGACTGGCGATATCGGCAGCAGAGTATCCTATTGGTATGCTGCGGTAGCCCTTCTCGTCGCGGTAGGCCTTCATGTCACGGGCGGCAGCCTTGATGTAGGGTGAGGTGACAGAGCCGTTTGCGGTGGTAATGGCCTCGTTGCCAATAAAGAAGCCAGCAGTGTTGTCGTACTGGTGGAATTCATCCATGACCTTGGCGAAAGCATCACGCTGGTCGGTCTCCCAGCGAGGAGTGTTCTGCTCGACCTGAGTATCGAAGGTATCGAGGTCGACCCAGATGTAGATTCCAGCATCTGCAAATGTCTTCATGCATTCGGTGTGGTCGGAGTCAGGGTCGACGTGGTAGACACGGATCGAGTTGGCACCGATGGTCTTCATGAGCGCAGAGTCGAGACCACATTGCGTCGCATCGATGAGTGGGTCGTCGGGAACGAGTTGGTACGCGATACCTGAGCGTGAGTGTCAGTGTGCGTCTACATTGACTCTTATCGTCGGACATACCCTTGACGTAGAACTGGTTGCCCTCGCTGGTGAAGAACTTGGAGCCCTTGACTTCAATGGTAGGAATAGCCGACGCGACAGCGCTCAAGCCCGCCAACAGGCTGAGCGATACCAATTGAACCATCTTGCAGTGTATCGACGAAGTGGTTTGCTTTCGATGTGGCGCGGTTGCAAGAGAAAATGTGTCGCGATAGCTGCAAGCAAATATCAGGCAAACGCACTAGCTCGCCACAAGTGCACAGTGAACGGCAGTGGCGTCGACTAGGAACGAACGAACGACTGTACAGCGCAGAAAGGAAGCGCAAACGGGCGTGAAGAACAAGACCAGCGACAACGAGAGTGAAATAGCTGAGAAGAAACAAGACGAACAACTTCTCGCGTCTCGACAAACCAAACCAACCGGCGAACCAAGCTATCGCTCCTTCCAATCTCCATGATGCCCGCTTGCCGCAAATGCATCCCGCCTTCCCTAAGCGGCGCCAGTAGCAGGGCACAAACGGCAACGAGGCCCATCATGACAGTGATAGAGGACAGGCGCCGTGGGTGCTGGTGGAGACGTGCGCCCGTGCTGCGGGCGATCGTCTGAGCGTGCCATTGGTTGGGACGCGTTAAGCCTGTTGGCGTGCAGCCTTGATGCAGCTAAGACGCGCAGAACAGGAAATCACGGTTGCTTGGTGCCCTTAGCGCGGATAGCCGATGTGGAACCGGCTACGGATAGACAGCCGAAACACCAGAATGCACCCGCCCGGGATGTGACAGCTAAGGTCAATTTATGTGGCACGGAGCCGTGAGAAGTTGGTCTTTTGCGACGGGTCGGTACTATTATTCCCAATAGTACCGCCTCCGCAGTCTGCCTTCTCGTGGAGGTCGTGTCCGATTTTATGAGCGTTGTCACCCATAATTCTGAGATTTTCTCGGTATTCCCGAACGAAAGCAACACCAACGGATATTCGCATCAGGGCAGGGATTGAATCACCAGGTCCAAAAACCCAGCGTATCAACAATATAGAGCTGGCATATCCACCTCCGTTTCAAACTTCCAACAACCAGATACCGTCACCCGCTGTACTCAAGCAATAGCTTGCCAAAGTCTGTCAAATTTCCACCCTGAAAAGCTTGGCGTTTCGCAGTCGCTTCCCATACAGATACAAGATGAATGGTACCGGGAAGAAGACAATGGGGATGAAACCAAGAAGTCAGTTACCCCAACTCAGGCCTGGGGTGTCATACAACTTCATCTCGACCTGACAACGCCAGCGTCCGACACAGCATCTACATAACCTTCGTCGTTGCTGCCCGGTGGGGAGACGCTACGACTAGACCCAGCATCTACGTCGCACTCCTCATTGTCATTCGTCACTGGAACATACCCAGGACCCAAACGAATGGGCTGCGTCTGAACTTGCTTTTCCTCAACCAAGTCAATCCGCCATCGCATGGTCCCATCAACATCTCGGAACCATCCCATACGCGTCAACATCTTGTCCTCCTTGACTATAGCATCGAAGCCCTTCTCTCTGATAACTTCAAGTAAACGTTCGCTTCCAGCGATGAGAACCAGCACGTCGGCGATGCATTCGATGTTGCGCATCATACCGCCGTAGTATTTTCTTTGTACGGATCCGAGGATGATGATGGTGATGATAAGCCAGATTAGGATGCTTGTTGCGATCCAGAACGCGACGAGATTCATCTGGAGAACTTCTACCTTGGTGCTTAATTCCGCTGTTGTGGTTGCATTGGTGTTGCGGACAATGTCTTCGAACTTTGGTGCTATGGAACCATCAGGCATGTACTGGATTGGCATGTCGTCCATCGGGGCGTTGATTTTGAGCTCCATGCCTCTAGGTTGATAGACATAACCGCCGGATTCGCGAGACAGGTTGCTGTTTACAAAGTGCTGAAAGAAGGTCGAGAAGACAGTTGAGGATGTTCTAGCCAAGACTTCCGGATCCAGTAGGGCGGTAGGATCAAATCCCACTTGTGCGTAAGCGGCGTACGACATGAAGTCGAGATTAAGACCTGTTGTGTTATCTCGCATATTGAAGGCCCTGCCATCTGAATATTGAGGGTTGGGTCTTGGGGAGTTCTCGTATGTTCGGGGTGGACTCTTAGAGGAAGGTCCATCGATATTTGCGGCATTCAAGAGCCATTGCACGAACAAGGGCCCGTAACTGCAGTGGTCTGTTAGATGGACCGAACCCAATGTTTATCTTCTAACTCACCTAGTAGTTGTATTGATATTGTAGTCATAAGACTTGAAACTGCTAGCCCTCCATTCAGAGCTATTGACCTCAAAGTCAGGGTCATGATGGATATTGAAATTGGTGTAACGAGCGTCTTCGTAAGGGTCACGCCATTGGGATGTATCAGACCAAGCGACATCCTCCCGAACAGGAACGTCAAGGAGGCGGTAGTGCTGTACGACACCGGTTTTGGGCTCCACTGTAACTACTGCTTGGCTCGACTCAAAGATAGGCATGCAGTTCAATGCCTGTATAGCGGGCGGCTCTGGGAATACGAACATGTATACATCCGGCTTACGGCGCATACTCGTGAGGAATCGTTCAATCTTTCCAGGGCCTCGGATCCATTTGACTGTAAAGTTTCCCGATGTACGATAATCGCGACTGTCTTCGGGGCCAGAAACTTCCTGCCAATTCTCTGTCCAATACGCAACTGCGGCTGGATTGTACGTTGCGTTTCCAGTGAGATTGGCGCAGCACGGTGGAATGCTGCCTTGGGTAGAAAGCCACGTCGTGGAATTGCGATCGTCAACGACTCGTGCTATCGTGAAATAGTTGTCTAGTCCAGTGATGTTACGTCCATATCCGTCGTTGTGCGACAGAAGCCACAGGCTCGTGTTTCTGGGCCACTCAACAGCACTGCATTCCAGTCGAGCACGAATCGCGGATGTTTGGACTCTCAGGCTCTCTACGGAGCGGTTGCCCCTACCTGCTGGACTCTTGATCTCAGCCGAGGCGAAGCTTTCCACACCGGAAGATACAGGCATGAAACTCCAATCATCTTGGCTCCACACTGGTTTCGGGCCCTCTAGCGCAGTATGTATGATAGCGGTGTACATCCAGTCTTTTGACAGGCTCTGCAGGTTTTCCCACACCAAGTCGCCAAGGTCGCTTGAGAAACTCTTCTCGTCGATGGTGTAGTTGAACAGCCAGGTAGGTTGATCTCTGTTTACCGATATTTGTTGCACGAATGGAACACTGCGCAGCTCCAATGCTACGGGCATCTCCGAGGAAGTAGTCAAGACGCCATTACCCGAGTCAAAGAGAGCGGACATGGCGATTGTGACTTGATCACAGCACTTAGTTGTAGTTGCAGCTTAGTCTTGGAATGTGCACTTACGAGCTTGGAGCAGAAACGTCGTCGTTGTAACAAGCGAGAGCAGCCAATGTCGGTGCTTTAAAGCTTTCAACGATGCGAATAGCCAGAACCATGATAGATAGGATAATGCGATACCCTGAGAAGGACGCTTGGCATCATGTTGCATGCTAATGTAAGGTTGAACCGTCCTACAAGTGGTGTCAACGGACTCCCACCAGAGCGTGATAACAATAGCAAGCAAAGTCGGGATGACAGATAAGGGCGATACTGTGTTTGAATGACCGAGAAGCTTGATGTTGGCGCGATAGGTGAAGAAAGCCTGATGAAGTTCTGACCTCCGCGCGTAGACGTAAAGCACTACGATTCCAGCAAGAAGAGCAAGTATGTAAAGAATGAGAAAAGTCAGGTTTCGTAGTCGTAGCATGGGTAATACAGGTGCGATGTCATAGGACTGCACTCTTGTTTTTTCTGCCACGTGTCAGAAAATACACCAACAGTTATGTAAGTACGTACTCTCATGATCGTCCTGGATGTTGGCTTCACTTTCTCGAAGCTTGCCATGCTTGGAATAGAAGACTTTTCTAGCAAGTTCTTCTTTCAATGTCTTTCTTGTGGCGAGGTCGAGTTTTGTGAAACCGCGCAACACTGTCGCATCACCGCTGCCCCATATACTTGTGCCCAGCAGTGTACTTGGATCTTGGCTAATATTAAGAGTTGTCTTAGCCGCTCGCGTCTCCCACAGGATGCCTAGAAAGAATACAAAGCAAATGAGTAACAGAGCACATACAATGCAGGCGGCTTGCCCGCTGACTAGCACTATCCGGACAGATCCAAGTCGATGACCAGCCGTAGAACGTTCTTCTAAAACTTCCGTGCGTTGCAGAGAACCACCAACAATTTCTGCGAAGAAGCGACGTCGGAATTGAGCAGCCACCACAGGCAATTGAGAATCAGCCATCATTCGTGGGATACTGAAGTTGTATGGTTCACCCAAGATCGCCGCTGGGCCCGTAAAGGGAACATCATATAAGTCGATCTCGATGTCAGACGTCTTGGTCTCGTGGGGGACGAAATCGCTCCATTTAATGTCCGTATAAGCCTTGCGTAGTTCGAGTAAGTCAAGGACGGTCGGGGGAACTGGCGTGCAAATTTGGTGGAAAAGATTCTCGTCGAACTCGACGGACAATGTCCCTGATGAGGCTGTGGCACGAGCTGGGATGGTGGCCATGCTATGGCTTGTATGACATGCATATGCAAGCATCGTCATGTTTTGTAGGAACTTTTCGGTCGGCGTGATATCCTGCCTGGGCCACCACGGCGTACTCATCATAACAATCTCATTCTCGTGGCAGTGTTCATTCGATTGAACGATAGCATCTGACATGGGGTAGTCTTCCGATGTGATGTTGTTGATGTCGCTCCAGGAAATCCAATCCGTAGTAAGGGCGTGATACTCCACGTCGACAGTGAGGTTAAACTGGCAACCCTCATTGGACTCTAGGAGAACAGATGCTTGATAGAACTTTTTTTCAGGCTCTTCTTCCCATCCTTCGGGTGCATGCCGGAGATACATGTCCTTCTTCTTCATATCCAGTTTGGCGCAAACTAAATCGGCGTGGAAAACACTCGTGTTTGCCTCCCAAGTTCCTGAATCTTGAACCTTGTAGTCCCAACGTGAGCCAGTATCAACTGAATCTTGTGGCCAGAACGGTAAGATGACAAAGTCGTCAGTAATCCAGGGGGAGGAGCTATAATTTTGGAATATTGCGCCCATAGTTCGCAGATACGTATCTCGCTCAGCTCGAGGTTGTAGCATCAATCCGTTGCGCATTGCTAGTCGTGCAAGTGTCTCCGGACTTGTTTGGTGTATCTCTTTTGTTCTCAATAGTGCAGCAGACATCGGTGAGATTCCAAGTATGGCCAGAATATAGGTGCTGCATGAGAGGATTGTAACCCAATTCCATGATCCGCCATTTCTTCGCCTTTGAAATCCTCGAGTGAGAGTTGTCCACCATGGCTTAGCCTTTTCGAGTAAAGTATAACGGGCAACTGGGATACGTCCGTCTGTTTTGCCCATTCTTGCAAAAGGCCCTGTCCGTTTGACAGCACCGAGTATGATTCCGGTCAATTGTGTATAGACGACAGCGATCAGCGTGGGTATGAACTTCCAGCCCGGCATTGCTGAATCCTCAGCACACAGCCCGTTGTTGTTATGTGAGTACCGATACAATGCAAACGTGATGGCTGCGCAGGAGATAGAAAACCCGGCAGCGGTGGTGATAAAGTGCCAGCGCAGCGCAAAAGGCATCCATCGTGGTTCTGAGTGTGTGTTAGAACGAGCAGTGCAAATAAAGCCATATGAATACTTTCGTTCGCCGCCAGGCTCCACGCAGCTTACACTAGAAACATTGGAGATTGATGCGCGATGAGATCTGTGAGTATTCGTTCTGGAATGCGCTGTCGATGTCAATGGTAGCAACTGCTGAGTTTCCATCTCGTGATGGCGGTTCCCTCCGGCTTGAAGCCCGACTCCACCATGGTGGCTTCCTCTGGTATTCTCCATAGCGCCTCAAGGATGCCAGAGCTTGAGAAGTTTGTGACGGTTCGTAGTCTAGTCAAACTGTTGGACCGTATCGTAAAATAAGTAAGGCTGAGGAGTAGGGATCGATGCATGCTGAACAGACCCCGGGAGGGTTGTTCTCGTTGGTCTCTTGCCGTCTGCAAGTAAGATGTGACGTTTCAGGCGGCCCGTGTCCGGAGCGCAGCCAGATGTAGTGATACAACAGGACTTGGTAAGCTCGGCTTTGGAAGCGGACCAATAGAGCGAGCACCCACATTCCTTCGTTATACAATCGCTTGCATTGATTCAACACTCTGGGGAGCATTCGCCGGGCTCGCGCATGGTGTTTGCAAGAATAGACATCCAACCGCCCCCACGATTAGGCGCCCACCCTCTCAGCCCCACTCAACACAAAGGAAAATCTAAACAGGTCCGCGGACTAGAGCAACATGAAAACATAGGTTGTAGTGTTAACAGCGTTGTAGGGATGTCTCAAAAGTCGTAATCAAGGTGTATCACGTACCCCAAAAGTGTGCGCGAGATGAAAGCATACAAAGTAGGCCACCTAACGTCGATGTAGACTCTAGGGTGTTCAGTTTTTCCAAGGTTAAAGCGGTCCCTCACTTCTACCACAACCTGCCTGCCTACCTAGGTATCTTCGCCCCCGCACCTACCAACTTGAGGCTGAACCTGGCACTGACTTGCAGTCGTGACAAGATGCTATCCTGCGGGAATCGAAGCTATTGCCCAATTTTGAACAATCCAACAATGACGCAGCTAGGCAGTGGCACGAGTGAGTTAAGCTGCGCGCCGAGCAGTACTCAATCTTGGAAGTACCGTCAGCGAGTACGCGCAAGCGCAATGGGTCTGATCCAGGACTCTGTGATGTTGCGGAGTACGCCCATGTCTATGTGGAAGAAACAATGACTTGGCAATATATAAATCCAATACATCAGATCATCCAAAACCCCAACAACAACCACCCCCACCCTAAGCATCCCTAAGCATACTAGCAACCCCCGCCCAAGTCTCCAACACAGTCGGCCTTATCTGATTCGCCGGCAGCGTAAACCCATACGTGCCCTTATCCCTCAACTCGTACGTGTAAGAATATGTCGCATTACCCGTAACATCAGTGTAATCAGTCGAAGAACCAGTCGTAGCATATAGTGTCGCGCAGCTGGGGCCAATGGTATAAGCGGTACCAGAGACAGCGCGGATAGCGGACTGGGCGCGGGTGGCGATGGAGCGGTGCTGGGCGTCGTTTTCGGCGCGGAGAGTGCAGTCGTAGCCGTAGGGCCAGAGGATGTATTGGCCGTAGGAGCTGGGGTGTGGTTAGCTTGGTTGTTTGTTTGTGTTGGGAGGGTTGGTGGGAGGTTGGGGACGTACTGTACGTCGAGGTAGAGACGGATACCGCGCGAGGCTTTGAGTGAGTCGACTTGCGCCTTCAGGCCTCGGAGCTCGGGGGCGTCGCCGGCGGCTACGCCTTTGTAGGTCTCTGAGCAGGGGTTTGTGGAGGCTCCGCCTGTGACTTCCCACTTGTAGGGCCAGTTACCTTCGAAAGATGTCAGTGATGAACTCTAAGGTGAAAGGGGACTCACGGTTGATATCACGGCCGACACAGCTGTTGCCGCTTACAGTTTGCCTGTTCTTGCGCCAGAGACGGTCGGTTGTCTGGGAGTAGACGAAGCCATCTGGGTTGGCGATGGGTGTAATGTAGAAGTCGAACTTGTCGACGAGAGACTTGATGTTTGCGTCAGAGCCGTACTTGGTGAGTAGTTGCCACGCGAAGTACCTGTTCGGTGTTAGCAGATGGGTTCAGGGTTTCATAAACGCTGACATACTCGGTGGTCATGGAGGTAATCCACTCTCGTGCGTGAACGTTGCCGTGAATGATGACCGCAGGCTTGGAGCCCTTGCCGCCGCTACCCCAGATGTGGATACCAGTCAAGGCTCGTCCCTGGACAGAGGTGCCGACTGTGACAATCTCAGACTGGCCAGTGTAACCAGCCTGGAGATCCCGGAGGAACTGGATGTGGTCGGCATATGGGTGGTATGCAGTGAACCAGCTTTCGCTAGGGACTAGATATGGTCAGTAGATGTCGTCGCACCAACGAGGCTCTCCACGAACCAGCATATACGCTCATTTCTCCCTCCTCGGCAAGCGCTGCACCGACATCCTCGTTCAGTACCTTGCTCTCAGCCACCAAGGCAGTCAAGGCGTCGACATTCTCTGGTGAAACAACGACGTCCAATTCAGCGGACGTGCCAGGGTTGAGGATGTGTGCAGCCAAGCTCTCGATCTCTGCCTTGACAGCATCGGTGCTGGCTACACGTAGTACCTTGAAGCCATTGTAGTCGACCTTCTTGCCAGCCCTTGGGACGACAGTGGCAAG